CACACACACACACACACACACCCACACACACACACACACACACACACACACACACACACACACACACAAACAAATAGAGACACGGATTTTCTCACCTAACCATCCTGAGCTGGAGTCAGGTACACACATGTCTGTTTCGGCGCTTGGAAGCACAAAGCCCACCACAAACACCTCGACGCCATCTGACATGAGGGCCAGTCCGAGAACCAGGAACAGCTGCCACTGGAACCTCCCGTGGCCGCACTCTTGGATGATGAGCTCGTACTGTTGTGCCAGCTCCTCCTCATCAGCCTGTCGTTCCTGCTCCAGCTCTTTTCTGTCCCTCATTGCGTCCGACATCGGTTGCCCAAGAGCCACTTGGCCCTCCTTATGCTTCCTGTCGCCTGTGGAGGGAACCCCCTGGTACTCGCCCTCGTAGATCTCGTCCTCATCATCGTGGCCCTCCGTGGCATCACTGGAGCCTTCGTCATTGTCATGGTAACCCTCCCCATCTTGCCTAGGTGGATTCCTATAGAAATCCTCATCGTCGTCATCCGCATCGTCCTGGAATCGTGAATAGTTGTGGTGGGATGAATACTCATCGGCAGCGCGGTCCACCACCTTGTTGACCTTCTTTGTCGCCTGCCGCTTTGCCTCCTTGACTATATCCTTGGCCCCTTTAACCAGGGAAGTCCTGTTATTGTAAGTGTCCTCCATCCTGGCTAAAGCAGTTGGTATACAGGGAAGAAGAAGGACAGGTTTGCACTGGGAATGGTCAGCTCAGTAGGTCTGAAAAAGCAGAAAGGACCAGAACTCATTATGTGTGCTGTCACCACAGGAAATAGTGATAAAGCAAGATCAGAGGGGTGGGCAAGTGGAAGAGAGAAGTCATTTAAAAAATAAAATACACTTTTTAAAAAACGGTGACGCCAAGTTGTGCAGAACTACGATTTGCTCATGTTCCCCAAACCCCATTCAGATCCATAATTGTGACGAACCTCATTGTGACACCTCACTCAAATTCTCTAAGGCATTTCAGTCCTGCAAAGACAATGTTGTATGTTGTATTGCTGGAAAAATGTCATGTAATCCAGGATTCCTGAGGATGAGGAGTTCGGATGATGAAGGGGTCCATGGACGGATGGCTATTCTGGCTGTTCCTTATTTCATGCTTTGCCTTTCGGTAAAAACAACAAAGCATTCAAAACAAAGGATGCAGAATCTACCGAGTCACGTTCTGTTCACTGGTATTTAAGATAAAAAAATAAGACTTTAGCTAAAATTAATTCACCAACAATAACGAAAAGGGTTACTTTGACTAGAGTGACAATCCAACCATAACAGCCTTGTCATATTTCATCTGTACACTATGACAAAGCATTTGTGAAATTGAGAGGCAGTGTGATTCATTATTTCATGTTGCATAACTCTCGTCATTTAATACAGTACGTTAGAAACAGACATCAGATTTGTATGCATAATAACACACAAACAGGAGAGGTCCTTTCCCAGCCAATACTAATGAGAGGGAGACCCCAGTCTAATGTAATTTTACACTCACTCTCAAACTATGATTCACAGTTTAAAATTCAATTTTGGAAGTCTGGCCTGCTGTTACCTTCTTATTAACTTATGGCAGATGAACGTGTACATTAAAATTGAAATTGTAATGCTGGCTATTACGTTAAAGTATAATTCGCATGAAAACATGCCTCAGGCGGGGATGCATGTTTTTTTTGTACTTGTCTGTTTATCAAATACATTGAGAGATTGTTGCTTCTTTGATTGCTTGTTTTGTTCTATTACTGTGATTGGACTTGATTGCCCTCCTCATACAGAAGTGCACAGGTTGTTCATAGCATATCATTGGTGTCAGGCTAAAACCTCATATGTCAAAATTTGGTTAAATTCACACATTTCACTAATCTGTACTAATGGTCAGTCCACCTGCGCGTGCCTTTTGTAAACACTGATCAACCATTCTGAAGTTTTGGTTTATGGTTGAACAAACAATCTGATTTTGGGGTCTCCTGAAAAGTGATTATTATGCACCTCTCTCGGTGTCCCGGGGCACCGAGTTGCCTCGCCCCCAACTCATCTGACAATTTGGTCACACATAGACACACAATCGAGAGTGCAAGGTGGTCTCCAACCGCCATATCACATGCACGGCCGAGTCCGTTTCCATCATCCGCAAGGGGAGAGCTTGCAGTTTACCTGCCAATGTCATGTTTGTTTTCAAAAAAACACGTGACAGGTTATATTGTATGTGATTAAAAACACACACACATTTAAAAAGGTCAATATTACCTTGTGACTGTGTATTAACTCCATTAACCTTTGTTGAACATAAAGTATTTGGACTCAGCCACTGAATTGTTTTGTGTTTATAAAATTTGCTGGTCCGAGTATTTTTATTTTCAGAATATGGATTTATAGCATTATGGAAAAGAGCTCTTCACTTATTTACATTGAATTGACGTGAGGCTAAATCATCTCTGGACTGACTTAAGTGTAGGGCATGCAGAGCTGTCCAGAGTGCCCCCTCCACATGCGTCTCAGGGCTGTTCACCACAGCCTCTAATGAACACTGAAGCCTTGTCAGGAGAACACAAATCACAGGGCCAGCTCCAGCTCCCATAATGCAATTTTACTGGACAAAATGACACTGCTGATTCAAGGTGACTCCACTAATCTCTTTGGCTCATTGGATGACTTCTGTGGTTATGAGCAAGGACCACTCTTTTTTTTTTTTTTTTTTAATGTCGCCATTGGCATCAGCGATGGTTTGGATTGTCATAAGAATTAATGAAATGACAGCTTTTTGAAAATTGGTGCGGTGCCATTTATCAAGCAAATAAACCATTACGGTAACTTAAGAGAGTGTTCAAAATGGATGCAGCGTGCCTCACAGTGAGACAGTAAAACTTTCAAACTAATTCATCCCAGATACGGTGATGGAGAAAAAAAAAAAAAACATTCTCAAAATGTATAATGAAGTCTTAAGATAATTTTCAAGGAATGTTCAAATATCAGCAGTGTTTGTGTAAACAAACAACCATTTTCTGCTGTTTTTTCCATCTAAAAGAGTAAAGTAAATGGCCTTTTACTTCAGAGGATGTGTATATAGTGTAAGCTTCTAGCAAAATATCAAATGAAATGTCTCCGGAGAAACACCTTGAACTGTTTATTCTTTGTTAAACTAACAGCCAGAGGCGTGTCAAAGTTCAGGGCCATGATGGCCACCCTGCATAGATTGCTGCAGGATTAGGCCAAGTCGCTTAAACAAACTGTTCTTTTCTTTTTTTTTTTGTTTAACCCTTGAGTCAATGCACATTGACAAGCATGCTCAAACAGCTCCTGGTGGTGTCTGCCTGTCAGAAAATCAATGGAGTGCATGGTGAGGTGTGCTGTCAGGCGTGATGAAGTTCAGAAGACACCAGAGCTCACAGAAGACCACCTGACCGCAGCAGAAGAGGCTCCCGACTGCGCGCGTAGCAACAGGAGCAATCACAATCAGTTGCAAACAAGACAGCAGTAGGGCAGCTTTGCCATCTTCCATGTTCTCACCTGTTATTCCCACCACCAAGGGGCCTTATATTTTCATTGCTGTACTGTACATGCTCATGTTGTCATGTTTTGTATTAATTTGTTAGTTTAGTCTGGTTGTTTTGTTCGGATGTTTGTCTTCTTTTTTTTTTGTGCAAATTCAGAATCCCCCCCTATTTTTTTCCATCATAATAATAATCCTAGCAAAATAACAATAATATAATATAATAATATCCATCCATCCATTTTCTGAACCGCTTTAACCTCACAAGGGTCGCGGGGCGTGCTAGAGTCTATCCCAGCTGTCTTCGGGCAGTAGGCAGGGGACACCCTGAACCGGTTGCCAGCCAATCGCAGGGCACACAGAGACGAACAACCATCCGTGCTGACACTCACACGTAGGGACAACTTGGAGTGTTCAATCAGTCTGTCATGCATGCTTTTGGAATGTGGGAGGAAACCGGAGTACCTGGAAAAAACCCACGCAGGGCAACATGCAAACTCCACACAGGAAGGCCCGAGCTGGAATTGAACCCACTACCTCTGCACTGCAAGGCGCTAACCACTGGACCAGCGGGCCGCCGATATAGTAATATATCTAGAGTAATATTTATGAGTTTTTTTTAGGTTCAGCAACAGGTGCATTTTTTTCCCAGCTATAAACTGTTTAAATCTGTATTGCGCAAACTTTAAAAAAAATATATATATATATATGTCAAAAATTGGATGTAAAGACATGAATGAAATGTAAAAACATTTTTAAAACTGTGACAAAAATACATTTTGAGACACATCAAGGCATCTCTGATTAAAATTTGCTGTTGACCGGTGTTATAGTTCACATGCAATGAGACCACGTGAGGCAGGGACCATTCGTTACGGCAGCATATTGGAATAATGGTTAGAATGTCTTCCTCAAAGTGAGAAGATCTAAAGCTTTGTGTGGCGTTTTCATGCCACACAAAGTGCACCATCTTTCTCACAAATGCAGCTGCGCTAATGTGGATAAGTGCTCCAGAAAAGGGATGGAAGGAATCTGTTATAATTGTGGGTTAAGGCATTTTAAAATTTGTCTTCGTTTTTTAGTGTCGCTCTTGTGTATTGATATGGATGACAAAATTCAGGTGTAAGCTGGAAATGCAGGGATCTATGAAGGTGTACAGTTCAGTGCTGATCGAAATTCAGATTAGAGGTTGTTGAGGAGAAATGTGCTTCGCTGAGCGTTGTTTAATGAATCAATGATCTACATTGTTCTCCATTAAATGCACACGGTGACACATGTTGAATCATATTGTGATTTGTTTTTTGTTTTTTTGCGGAAAGCTTGATTTATTTTTGGCAACTACCTACATGTGATGTCCAATTGTCTTTGCGTTTTAAAATTCAGTCCATAGCAGACTTTGTTATTTTGTATCATAAATCATTTGTGTTCTGCAGCACTTAATCCAAACACACTTGAAAAAATATCTGTTCTTTTTTTTTTATCCTAAATTATAATGCTGTTTAATTCATAAGGGAGATCTATTCAATATTTTTATACAAGACCTCGTGAAAATCAGACTACAATTTTGGGCAGGGCGGGCTACAAGAATCAAGAAAAAAAAATACTTCTGCTATAGAGAAAGAATGTAGTGTTCTTTTCACTTGAACCTGACACGGCACGTGAGGTGTTTTGCGTCTTTTTAAATTGTTTGCAACATAGAGTAAATACATCAGGATCTACAGTATTTCACCAGTTTTGCACATTTCTCACTGCGGAATTTCAAATGCATCTTTTTTTTTTCTGTACAGCTTCTGCCCTTTGAAAAGCATTCCCCAACCAGCGCGAACACCTGACAGCTGGTTTGCTCTATTAGTATCAGCTAGGAGCAGTTCCAATCTCTAAGTGGGCAGTGCTGCAAGTAATCCCATCAATGGAGAAAAGCGGTGGCCACATCTGAGGAGGCGCTTCGAGAATGGGACGTCTTCCATTAGGAGATTTCATAAAACGATGATGGCATTACAGCCTGAGCACGTGCGTGTGTGCTTGTGTGTTCAAATGGGTCTTGGGTTGTGGCAGAAACAAAAGACAAACATGTTCATCTAAACAGCGACATGTCCAAATATGTTGCACTACAATCGGTGAAAAGAACCTCTTCAATCAGTTATCCCCCATATGTGAAAATAGAATCATGAAATGAAGCTTATTGCATATAAATCTCACGTGACATGCCGATTCATCATGAAGATGTATCAAAAAGTAATGAATGAGTGAATGAGCTGAGAAATGAAGACTGTCTGCCTGCCATGAGCCGTGTGTTGCTGATAACATAATGACAAACGTGCAAAATCTATATTTATGTTAATCTTGGCACATTGCAAAAATAAAAACGGGAAAAACTAGTGACTATTCGATGTGCACAGATCTCTGCTAAAGCGGAAAACTATAATGAAGGTGGCTGTAACGCCCAACATCGCCCAATGATTAGCGCAGTGGTTCTTAACCTTTTTAGAGGTACCGAAACCAACCAGTTAATATGCACATTCGCCGAACCCTTCATGAGTGAAAAATAAATATACAGGTATATATATTTTTCATAAATTCAAAGTAAAAAAACGCATTTATTAAAAACAGAAAAAAGTAAATACAATTTCAAAAGATAAGTATACCTTATTTTTAATTGTACGACGTACTATCATGACAGTCACACGTTGACTACTAAGCGAACTAAATTTCCCACAGCACTGATTGGACAAGCAATGTCATGTGATAATCTGCAGCCAGCGATGGCCAAGCGGGCGTGTCATAACTAATTGACATTTTGAGTCGCGTGCGTCTTACCCTCCATGGCAGAGGCTCCGTCGAACCCCTGAGACCGATTCACCGATTATATGCTACTATTAATAATTGATGATTGTCATATACACAGTCACTCGTGAATTCGAGGATTTCTCACAATCTTTACGAAATCGGTAAATAACAATACACAGTACAATAAACTATCTCTATAGATCTGTGCCAGTGTTCATGTTTTCAAATGATCACTTCTGTAGTTTTAATAGGAAATCCCAATGGCCCGTCACTTGTGAGCTATTTTTAGAACAGGCCAGCGGGCTATTCATGAGGTCCCTGGGGGGGGTGGGCTACGTGGTGCCCGCGTGCACCACATTGGTGAACCCTTGTCCTTTTCTATCCGTTTAGGTTTAGTGGCTTGCACATTTTCAGAATACATGCAAGAACTCTTCAGGCCATTTGGTGATGGGGGTCATTAACCAGGATCTAAACAAAATAATGAAACATCTGCTGAATCTCTTGATTGTTTGTCAAGACAATGGAGAGAAACAATCTTTTTTCTGGTGCTTTTGTTTCTGCTTCGTTGCCCGTAGGCATTACCGGCAGTGTGCTAGCACCATGAGTGAAATGAGAAAGGGAGTCTCTTGTGAGTTTCTTTATGTTGCTTATCGTTCAAAACGACAAAAGAAGTGACAGGCCAGAGTATCTAAAAATTTGACACAAGTGTGACCAACTGAATTGCAGTAATTTCAGAACCCATGTTGATCGCGTCAGTCGAAAAATGTCTCCGATATGAGCCAGTGGCAAACTGTGAAGAATATTAGCAAGCTTCCTCTATAAGGTAATAAGGGGGGTCTGGGGGGCGTTTTGGATTTTGGACAGGGGACACGACTTGAAATACGAAATATAGAAAATCAATTTCACACAAAAAAAAAGTTTCAACATTGCAGAGCACTGTATTTGAATTTGGTAGTTGGTAGGCTAGAGTCTGGTTCATGGAGATAATGTAAAACGCAAACAATAAATGGATGGGACGCTACCACTTGAGTTATGGGGAGGAACGGTTCCGCTGTGACTCAAATGCAAACTGTATTCTCTTCTGGATTTGTATCAAAATGTAATGTTTTGGGGGGGCGGGGGGTTTACAACCCTTGTACAAAATTTTAAAACTCTAAATCCAGTGGGAGGTATGACACAATTTCAACAACACAACAACACTTCTTGACGAAATATTCTAACTGTAAATACAAGCGGAGCACAATGTAGCATCATGTTCGCATTGCTCACAGTGCACTTTGCCACGGGTTTCCAGTTCAGCGGTCGCAAGGATGTCAATCGTTCAGTGCCTTACGAGGTGCAATTTACGGGTGAGTCAGTTCCCCGCACGCGCATCCCTTTCCTCTTTTTGGCAGAGTGCTCCAACTGCCCCAGGGCAGGCGGCTGCATTGCTCTGGTCTACAACCAAAAAACTCTACTCCTATCAAGGGGGAAGTATCACAATCTCACCCAAATCAGAGAATGGACCGATACACAGGGAAAACCCATCGAGAATCTTTCCAATTAGAGTCAGTCTTAAACTTTACACGATGGCACTGACGAGCAATTCCCAGACTCTTAGTCACCGTGATCATTTTAACAACGGATGAAAAGCGTGAATAAACTCAAATCCTTAGTAGTCAAATTAAATTAACCGTAGCCCACTTTCACAAATGATGACAGTTGCATGGCCAGTAGCCATCATGCAACTTTTAATAAATGATCCATGAAATCATGAATAATTCCTTTTATTTAACAAAACACAAAAAGCGTTCATACTTACAGGAAAAAAAAATTAATTGCTATTTTTGACTTTTAACTATTTGGCTGCATAGGGTAAAACCGTGAGACGAGTAGGTTGACCAACTTGAAGATGCTGAAAAGAATAGACTTACCTTCATTTATGGCGACAAAAGTAGCTAGAGCTTCCTAAAACCCATTGTTGGATACATCTTGAATAAATCTCCCGGGTATTTCTTTAACAAAGAAGTGGATCCGACGTAAATGAAGTGCACAACGTGATTTTCCCCCCCACCCCTCCCCGACGCAGTGCTCTCTCGCTGCAGTACTTCACAAGAGGAGACAGAGGCAGAGGGATGGAGGATGGTGGGAGGGAGGGAGGGAGGGGGGAGGGATGCAGGGATGGATGCAGGGAGGAGAGCAGTGTAATCAATAATTGCATTTCATTGAGTGATGCGGGTAATTCCATCTGATGGAACAATCTAGTTAGGTGACTAGATGACGTGGGCAAACGCGTGGCACACAAAAATAGGTTTAATTCAAACTGGTTGGAACTGGTATAATGTTGCTTTCTACTCAAGACGACATTTTGGATGTGAAAACATCCGAAAATAGTTTGGAATGCCCAATTCGTTTCAGAGTAAAAAAGTTACTCTTGTTCTTTGTCATATTTTTTCTGTTGCTGGAGGTTATAAGTGGGTATGTGTGAGAGTATTGGAAATGTAAAATGAAAGAGGCATTCTCCAAATAAGATTTAGTGTCTACAAATCCAAGAGAGATGGAAGTCAAATGCAAATTTTCCACAGAGATTCTCCTAAATGTATTTTGGGCACTGCTTTAAAAAAATGTCTATACTTGAACGAAAATATCTCAAATACCTGATATGATAGGAAAAAAAATCTTGCACATCAAGTTTTTGAGACATTTTCATTTTTCTTTTTTTTATTTTGAAGTTTGACCTCCAGATCAGGCCTTGTGTGCCTTGTTCATGTCTTGCTCACTTTGGTTACCACCTCTTCTCGTCAGCCTGGTCCCTCGTCCACGTGTGTGTGTGCGTGTGTGTGTGTGTGTGTGTGTGTGTGTGTGTGTGTGTGTGTGTGTGTGTGTTTCGTCCAGCTGTCTCTCAGCTTGCTTTTTAAGACCCACCTTTTTGCAACCACCACGACAACAACCTCCATCTTACAACTGCTGAGATGTAAATCACACACACCTGCCATTTACTATTTAAACACACCTCGCCCCGGCTCTGCCATGGAACCGCCGATACTCCCTTAGAGTGTGAAATAACGGAGGAAAGAATAAGTACACAGAGTTTTTTAATGTGCTTTTTGCAACCACCACGACAACAACCTCCATCTTATAACTGCTGAGATGTTACTCACACACACCTGCCATTTACTATTGAAACACACCTTGTCAGCGGCTCTGCCATGGACCCCCCGATACTCCCTTAGAATGTGAAATAACGGAGGAAATAATAAGTACACTGAGTTTTTTTAATGTTCCATTTAATCAGAATAGCAACATGGAGGGAGGTCAATTCATCCTGGTGTACACAAGTAGTGTAAAAGGGGCTGCAGCTAACAATTTAAAACAATCCGTAATTCCTAATGTGCAAAACTGAAGAACTTAATCTTCTCCAAACACATTTGATCAAATCCTGGCCATTAAGTGGTCAAAGAAGAGAACTGTCATACCTCGGGGGGAGAGTTTCTACTCATTAAACCAGTTCCCGTGTGACAATTTCCTGATGTGACACTTGGGAGATGTAAGCCGCCCTGAGCAGCCCTTTGTGACAGCACAGCCTTGAGTTAAAGAGAAAAGATCATTGATCACTTCCTGTTGTGAGTCTCTACATTCTGTTGACACGTTATCATTAGAAGCCTATCAATATAGCTTGCCATAATGCTGTGTGGAGGCATCTTACCCGAGGAAAATAAACCTGCACCATCACCAGCACCTCTAGCGACAGACCCCATCAGCTTGATTGCTCATTCTGTCTATTTCAGTTACCTTAGCTCATTCGCTACATGCATTTTTAGCTTGAAATCGATAATAAGATTGTATGATTGATTCATTGCCTTTTTTAAACGACTGTTTTTACAGATAATAAAACGAAATTGTCCTTAGGTGTAAATGTGAATGTTTGTCGATGTGCCCTGCAATAGATATCTCGGCACATCCCAACTCTTGCCCAATGACCGTGACGATAAGTGGTACTAAAAAAAAAAGGATAAATATTCATATTTGTAAAGTCAGAGAAGAAAAAGGACGAGAGACCGAAGCAAGCAAAATGATTCAGCCTTACTCAATTTACATCACTGGAACAGTGACACTTGCTTCGCCGCAGAAATGATTCGCTCTTCGATGGATCACACCACTTATTCATTTTCTTGAGGTAACATAAAAAAAAGTCAATCGTAAAAGAAGAAACATATGGTCGTGAATGATTCAGAGTAGGTATGGATTTGGATGCGCTATTTAAATGCTTCTCTACTCTGGCTTGCATCATATTAGGCATGCTGGGGAGGATTATAAACATCACATAGAATAAACAAAAAGATGCACCCAGTTCAAAAACACAAAAAGGATCTTCTTTTTTTTTTTTCCTGCTCTGAATATGATGATTCACAGATGCAGTGACCTGGGATTGGGACACCCCACTCCTCCAACCCCCCAAGCCATAAGGCTCCATTTAGTACTGCTGGAGAGCGGAGGAGCACTTAGCTTAATGTACAGGACAGTAGAATGACCCTCACGCACACACGCACACACACACACACACACACACACACACACACACACACACACACACACACACACACACACACACACACACACACACACGCACAGCATACAATGTAATGTGAATGCAGGCAATTTCCCGTCCTTTCGCATAAGTCTTAGTAGTATCTTTTGTCATGTAAGAATACACACATAAAGAAATGATGAAGTGTCTTTTGATTTGTGAAAATACACTATATTTCTAATTTCCAGAGTTGTAGGTTGGATGTGAGAGGCATGAAAAACTGTTGATGTTAATGTCACATAATGTCACCAGTAAGTGGGAGAATCCCGTGTTATGCTTCGATTGTGTATGGAGTTGCACGTGAGGCAAAAATGATAAGGTATCAGATTATACGTGATTAAAATACGAAAACATTGCAGGTTCTCACAAACTCAAGTGAATACCGTATACCGTATCTCAACGTACAACCCCCTCCAAAGACTCAATTTTTGCTGTAGACTGAAAACATTTATGAATATGAAATAGGAGATCAAAATTTCAGATTTTATTGTTTGGAATTCACATCTGGATCTGATATATTAATTAATTATAAAATAGCACCTTTTGATTTAGCCCACACATTTAGACAGTAAACACCACTGAATGGCTGTGTCATGGGGTCTGTATTGTATTAAAACATAATAACACATAATAAAAGAGAAGATAGAAAAAATTTATGGATTTTTATAAAGCAGAATTACTGCGTATTGGGACAAGCATGAAGTCACAACCATGCACCTGACCTGTATGACTTTAAGGGGCATGGCTGAATGGGGAAGGCACATGATCAGTTTGACTCTTTTTTTAAGATAAGAAAACCTTGATATGTCTCACCATGGTCTCTCTCTCTCTCTCTCTCTCTCTCTCTCTCTCTCTCTCTCTCTCTCTCTCTCTCTCTCTCTCTCTCTCTCTCTCTCTCTCTCTCTCTCTCTCTCTCTCACACACACACACACACACACAC